AATTCTTCTAATTCATGAGCAAGGAATATTTTTCCATTTGTTTATGTCATGTTTGATTTTTTTTCCGCAGTGTTTTGTAGTTCTTCTTGGTAGAAATCTTTCACCTCTTTGGTTAGATGTATTACTAGGTATTTTATTTTATTTTTGTTGACTGTTGTAAATAGGATTGCATTATTGATTTATCTCTCAGCTCTAATGTTATTTGGTGTACAGAAATGCTACTGATTTCTGTACATTGATTTTATATCCTGAAACTTTACTGAAGTTGTTTACTATCGGTTGCAGGAGCCTCTTGGTGGAATCTTTAGGATCTTCTAGGTAATCATATTACGTATTGTAAGTTAAGAGGGATAGTTTGACTTATTATTTTTCTATTTTGAAGCCTTCTCTTTTTTTCTATTGCGTGATTCCTCTGGCAAGGACTTTGAGTACTATGTGGAATAGGAGTGGTGAGAGTGGGCATCCTTGTCTTGTTCCAGTTGTCAAGGGGGATGTTCCAGCTTTTGCCAGTTCAGTATGATGTTGGCTGTGGGTTTGTCATAGATGGCTGTTACTATTTTGAAGTATGTTCCTTCAGTGCCTAGTTTGTGCAGGGATTTTTATCATGAAGGAATGCTGGATTTTTTTGAAGGCTTTTTCCACTTCTGTTTATATGATCATATAGTTTTGTTCTTAATTCTGTTTTTATGTTGAATTGTATTTATTGATTTGCATATGTTGAACCAACCTTGCATCCCAGGAATAAAGCCTTCTTGGTTGTTTTGAATTATTTTTTTAATGTACTGTGGAATTCAGCTTGCAAGTATTCTGTTGAGAATTTTTGCATCTCTGTGCATCTGGAATATTGGCCTATAGTTTTCTTTTTTCACTGTATCTTTGCCATGTTTTGGTATCCGAATTATGCTGGTTTCGTCGAATGAGTTAGAGAGAAGTTCCTTCTCCTCAGTTTTTTGGGAATGGTTACAGTAGAATTGGTACCAACTCTTCTTTTGTAGATATAGTAGAATTTGGCTGTGAATCTATCTGCTCTGGGGCTTTGTTTGGTTGACAGATTTTTTATTACTGATTCAGTTTCAGAACTTGATATTGTTCTGTTCAAGATTTCAGTTTCTTGCTGATTCAATGTTGGGAGGTTATGCATTTCTAGAAATTTATCAGTTTCCTCTAGATTTTCTAGTTTGTGAGCTTCAAGGTGTTCATAATAGTCTCTGAGGATCTTTTGTATTTCTGTGGGATCAGTTGTAATACCACCTTTGTTGTTTCTCATTGTACTTCTTTGGCTTTTCTCTCCTTTAGCCTTTGTTCTTGTAGCTAGCGGTCTAGTGATCTTGTTGATCCTTTCAAAGAACTAACTTTTGGGTTTGTTTATTGTTTTATGGATTTTTTTATATCAATTTCATTCAGTTCCACTCAGATTTTAGTTATTTCTCCTGCTAGCTTTGGGGTTAGTTGATATTTGTTCTTCTAGTTCCCCTAGGTGTGATATTCGATTGCTAACTAGTGATCTTTCTAAATTTCTGAGGTATGCATTTAGCACTAATAACTAATTTTTAAGAGCCCTGTTAGAATTCTATTCCCAGAAGTGAGTTTTTAAAACTCTTAAGGTAAAAGAAGCATCTCTATTTTAATCCCTACCAAACCTGGAGAGCAATCTTGAAGTTTAAAAATCCTTGAGATATTTTATACATTCAATTATGTTGCATATTAATATAGAAAAACTGACTATTTACCCTGTTACATATGAATATAGAGTATATGACTATTTACCCATATATATAAAATACCATGTCTTGAATGCATTAAAAATGTAGGAAATCTAAAAAAGGGATTTACAAGCTCTGCTGAGCACCAGTGTCCCCAAGACATTCCTAAGAATGCCAATTGCTCTGTGTGTGTGTGTGTGTGTGTGTGTGTAGTGAGAGAGAGAGAAAGAGACAATCCTCAGTTCTCGGATACAACCTATTCATAGGCATTCATGGACATGCATTTAGGAACTACTATTCAAGGACATATATATAAGTGAAACAGAAAAAAATCAATCATTTCATTTTAGATATATGTTGATATTTAGAAAAAACAAATGTGATACTTCTAAAATAAATTTATTTATAGTTAAACATACAGATATGAGACAGGATTTTTAAATATATTATTAATCTAACATGGACTATCTTTATACAGAATAGAATCTTTATTTTTTTTTCACTTGGATGAATGAAAATGAAAAGTGAAAATTAAGTGAAAGCAATCTCAATAACAATTGGCTTCTCTATCTTTCTTTCTGAGTCCTTTTCCTTTCTGCTTTTCTCACTTGTCCTCCAAATGAAGATTATAGAGTGCTAGAAACAGGCAGTGTAGATAGATTAATTGGGGATAAAAACATCTACTGATTTTTTGTTCCAACTCCAATAAAATATCATTAATATGAAAGCCTAGTGTTTTTCACTATGGTTATTGTATTCCTGGGTCTCTTTATCCTGTCTTACCAAAAATTATTGCTACATTTCAAATTCGTAGTGGTCCATCACAATAATAATAAAATAACTGATAAAAATAATGAAATTACAGGTTTCAGCTCCCTAGACTGTTTTAGGAAGATACCTTTGCTAATCCAAGCAAAAATTAGGATGATTCACCACTGGTCATAAACACTTTCTGTGATCATCCTGGTTGGGTAAGTAAATGAGAGACTATGTAGATTTCAGCACCAGCTAAGTGAATGTTGTGTTTTGCATGTTACTCATAATTTCTCGCATCTATGGAGAAATGAATTTGTTTCCTATAGTGTTTAGCAGTAATATTTTCTCTTTATTTATCATTAACATGCTTTTACAATTAATAAGCTGGTATAGACCTCCTGTGAGTATTTGGGAGCTATAGTGTAACAGAGGGCTGTTATTTCATTGACTATATTGTCATTAAAACAAAACAATGTCAATAAGAAAGGAAACTGTTCTAATAGGCAAAATACAGAAAGAAGATAGTCTTAAACAAATATGGTCATTGTCCATCAATGCTCTATGTATAAGAAAGGAAAGATGCCACCATTAAAAGCTAAGTAAATCAAGCACCTCTTCTTAGAATTGATTACGTCTGCTTTTAAACAGATAAATTAGGCTATCTAATAATGCCAGTGAGTATTACGATCATACAATATACTTCCTCATTTTAATTTTCATACTTACCAAGCAACTCTTTATTGGCTTACCATTTGGTTTACCATTGTATGCAGGGAAAGAATGCATTGCTGTAGACAGTTCTCTTAGCATTCATTTGTATATCTCTCTTTTTTTTTTTTTGGACGGAGTCTCGCTCTGTTGCCTAGGCTAGAGTGCAGTGGTGCGATCTCGGCTCACTGCAAGCTCCACTTCCCGGGTTCAAGCCATTCTGCCTCAGCCTTCCGAGTAGCTGGGACTACAGGCGCCTGTCACCATGCCCAGCTAATGTTTTTGTATTTTTAGTAGAGACGGGGTTTCACCATGTTAGCCAGGATGGTCTCGATCTCTTGACCTCGTGATCCACCCGCGTCGGCCTCCCAAAGTGCTGAGATTACAGGCGTGAGCCACTGCGCCCAGCCTTTATATCTCATTTTATGTATTCATTTTCAGTCTGACGAGCAGTTATTTGAATCAGAGTACTAGAGCAAATCTCAGCAAGCTGATACATCAAACTCTGAACTGAGAAGTTTAAGTTTTTCATATCAATGATTCTTATCTTGACCAAAATCTCTGAGGGTTTGATTCAACTGAGGTTAAAACAGTGAAAAATTTTATAGCAAGCACCCCAGGTATTTGTGCTACAGGTTGTCTGAAGCCACCTTTAGAGAAACTTTTCTAGTTACAACCTAAAATAAAGCTTTTTGGGGGGATATTCAGTCAGCCTTCCTTAGATGAAACTATAGTTGCTTCCATCTCCAATCTTATAAAACACCCACTCAATAATGTTGGTGAACTGAGTTTCTGATTGATATTTCTAGTGTTACAATGTGTCTTAGGAAAATATATTTATGACTACAATAGAAAAGGGAATAGTTGATTTTTCTATTTGTCATAATCAAAAGCATTGAATTTCTTTTCTACCTCCAACATGTTTCAGAAGACTGTGAAGAATGAATAATTAATATGGATGATCTATATGAATATAAAAGTGTCAAATGCCCCATCTTTTGACTAAATAATAGTAATTTTAGAAACACATTTATTTTATATAAATATTTTTATTTTAATGGTGTATTTACCTGCTATTTTATAAGTTTTATAATTTAATGTATGTGTGTGTGCATATGTAAATATATACTGCCACTATATCTATCTGGTTGCAGTATTTGCCTTCTACTGATGAACAGATTTGATTTCATGATATGGAGTCTGGATATGTATACCATTCATTCACTGCTTCTTGAAAAATGCTACAGAAGTTCGAAAGATGAGCTTCCTAGACAGAAAAGGTTCAAGAGTGTATGAGTAACCATGAAATTATATAAAATAAAATTTAATAAGATTACTAAGGATGTAATTATAGTGTGTTTCACACGAAATTGTATCCAGATAAGGCTGTGTTCTAAATTATAATGCTAGTAAATAGCAGTGAGATAAAATGAGAATCCTCTGGTTTAAAAGAGTTCTGGTAATTCTGTAAAACTGTGCTGGTGTCTTATTCTTTCTGGGTCTCATTGTTCTCCTCTGTAAATATGCAAAGTTTAAAGTGTATGATTTCTCAAGAGCCATTGTAGCTCAGATAGGCCATAAATCTTTGATCATTTTGTACTATGCTTGTGTTTTGCTAAGCACTATTGAAATGCATATCTTAGTTTCATCCTGAATCAGGAGGTCTATCTGTATCCATTATGCCTTTGTTTTAGGCTGGAGTATGCATAATTATAAAATCAAAGATTGACAGATGATTGTTCTACTAAGTCATATGTTATTAACACAAATGAGTATTTTAGAAAATGAAAAAAGAATCCCATCAACTATGTTTATTTCCATCTGTGTTTACAGGAAGTTCAACACAATTGCCAGCTTCATAGAATATCTTTTTGTGCAGATGATAAAACTGACAAGAGGATATTCACTTTCATATGCAAAGATTCTGAGTCAAATAAACATTTGTGCTATGTATTTGACAGCGAAAAGTGTGTAAGTATCCCAGATGTTTTAGGGTGGTTTGTTCTGTTTTACAAGCCAGGAATTGTCTAGTTTCTGGCATTAGTAAAGTATTTGAAAATGAATAATGTCTGTAAATACTTAGCTGTACTAATAGATTTATTTTGTCATGAGAATATGCTTCAGGATGTCATCCATGACTAAATTCTCATGTTCATGAGCATAAACTCACATGCAAATTTATTTTATTAGAATGTCATGCCTGCTTATGTTATGCATTTGTTTATTTTATAATAATTTAATCTATTTTAGTTTTAAACTCAAATAGGATTTAGTAATATGCACATAATATAAGAGTAATGGTGAGCAAAAGTGTGTTTCCCCCACATGTGCAGAATCTGGTGGATTTTATAAAAATAAATATTCTTAACTCCAGGAAGTATAATCTGTATGGTTCCTTAAAAGATTTTCTAATACATTGAAAATGTAGTTCCTTATGTTCATTATATAAAACTCTTAGGCCAGGCACGGTGGCTCACACCTGTAATCCCAGCACTTTGGGAGGCCGAGGTGGTCGGATCATGAGGTCAAGAGATCGAGACCATCCTGACCAAAATGGTGAAACTCCGTCTCTACTAAAAATACAAAAATTAGCTGGGTGTGGTGGCGCATGCCAGTGGTCCCAGCTACTGGGGAGGCTGGGAGAATCACTTGAACCTGGGAGGTGGAGGTTGCAGTGAGCCAAGATCGCACCACTGAACTCCAGCCTAGCGGCAGAGTGAGACTCCGTCTCAAGAAAAGAAAAAACAAAACAAAACAAAAAACTTAATATAATGAAAGTTAATAGAATTATATGTATGAAATTCTATGTTAAATCCTGTAGCTGTTCTTTAATCATCTGAAATCTTAAGGAAAACCCATTGATGGCTGCAGTGAAGGAAAAACATGTAACCTCAACAATTTTATTGGTTTAGGTAGGAAATAAAACAATTCATCTATTTGCTAATTTATCTTGCTGTCAAAAATAGATAGCTAATATTATTATCGCTATTATGTCATTTGTTTATCTAGCTTCAGTATTGAGCTTCTTGAGAACAAATACCTTTTTATTTGTTCATGTGACTCCTACATCAAGTGGACAATAGGTGCTCAATGAAGCATTCCTTAAGAAAAAGATCGCGTTGAAAACTTACAAAACATAGAGCAAGTTATCATTTTTATTTTTTAAACTGTAATTCTCTAGAAAGGAAAGCTAATGTGCTAAGCTACTAGACATCATAATACCTTTTGTGAATTTGGTGCACATTATGGAACATTTCATCAGAAAAAGATGCTTAGCAATCTAAGACAATATTTTGCGCACAATAAGACATTTTATATAGCTCAAACTGATGTTGAATTTTATTTTATATGAACTTCTGTTGAATGAATAAATAAAATTTATGTATAATTTACATATTTCAAGTGCTTTTTAACCATGATTGCTTACAGATTCTTTTCTCTATGACTGAGAAGATTAAAGTTGATATTTGTTGAATATCTTCTATACATAATTTATAACCTTTTACCACCGACATAAAGCAGTAAACTCAGTTATTCTTCTTTCTGCCTTACCCATAGAAATAAATTTTGAAATGTTTTAGAGTCAGAGTTCGTTATAAATATTAGCCTTCTTATAGATTTGTGCCACTTGTTTTATATTCTTTGATCCCTATCCAAATTTGTTACATTAATATTTAAAATATAAGCTTGCCAGCTTAAAAGCATAGACCCCATTTCTTCTTCATCCTAACTGTCTGTAATTGATTGTTCTCTTTGGATGTAGCATATCTACTCTATTTTCTCTTAAAGACTGAAAATAATTTCCTAAAGCCTAAGCAGTGGTTCACAATCATTAATGTGCATAAAAATCATACGGGATGCCTTTTAAAAACTCTTATCAATTGGGGCTGAAGCTCAGGAAATCTATATTTATCAAGTATACCAAGTTGTTCTACTGCAGGTAGAGGAAGTCTTGGCTTTGAAAAGTTCCCAGAAAATCTCCCAACTATAAGTTGACATCACCTTTGTGAGCTGAAAAAGGACATGTTTTCTTAAAAATTTGTTATACCTGCAGTATCTTAACTATGATGTTTTGTCAGTGCTAATTATAATGATGACTTTATTTATAACACTGATGTTATATGTATGTAGAATTTTTGATATGCCATCTTATGTAATTCTTATTTTAAATAGTTTATCATAGAGTGCTAAAATGGGAAATAAGTTATGGCCTATCTCATACAACTCTCCTTCTATTTTAAAAAACCAAGATCAGAGATATTGAAGTAAGTTTTCTTCCATAAGTATTCACATACTTTATTAAAAGTATCATGTTGTATTAATAGTCCTCCTTCTTCCATAGTGATGTTGAGGACCATATGAGGAGTGAGAACATTCAGCCCTGCCAAATTAGAATGCTGAGCCTCTATACTTACCAGGCAATAAGGGAGCAGTGCATTTCTACCCTCACTGTCATACTGGAATTGCATCAGATGAAGCCACCTAAAGCAGAAAATTTAAATCATTTCCAGTATTTCATAAAATGAAAATCACTCTTTGTACCAAGAAACAGGTTTCTTAAACTAAAAAAGAAACAACAGTCAGTAGTTACCAACACATAGATGTCAGAGATATTAGAATTATAGGACAAAGGTTTTGGAACAGCCATCATATAACATAATAAAATGAGCAGTTACAAACACATATGAAACAGATGAGAATGCAGAAAATCTTATCAATGAAATAGAAAATCTAAGCAAAGAAACAGAAGATATAAAGAATACTGAAAAATAACCACAGGGAAGACTCAATGTATAGGCTCAACAGCAGAATAGAGAGAACAGAGGAAAAGAATCAATGACCTAGAAGATTGACAAATAGAAAAATGTTATCATTTTAAAAACCCATAGAAATGCAATGAAAAGAAAACAGAGAAAGAAAAAAGATAAGTAACAGAAAAGAAAAAGATTAAATAATGTACTTAAGCCCTAACATATCAAAAATCACATTAAATGTAAATAGTCTACGCCAGTTAAAATATGTTGTTAGGGTGGATTACAAAACGTAATCCAGATACATATCGTCTATAAGAAGTTCACTGCAAACATAATGGTATAGGTGATATAGGCAGGCTAAAAATGAAAGAATGAAAAGAGAGTTTTCATGCAAACATTATTCAAAGAAAGCAATAGTAACTATATTTACATCAGATAAAGTAGACCTCCATGCAAAGAAAATTACCAGAGACAGAGGGGGACATATAGTGATAAAAGGGATCAGTTCCCAAGAAGATATGGTAATTCTAACTGTATATTACCAAAATATAGAGCTGCAAAACGAGAAACAAAAACAGATAGAACTAAAAGGGTAAATAGACAAATACACAAGTATAGTCAGAAATTTTACTGGCACTTTCCCGCAAATTTATAGAATAATTAGAAAATCATCAAGGATATAGAATAACTCAACATCATCAACCAGTGGGATCTAATGAGCAATTACAGAGAACCTCAGCCAACAACAACATTTTGTATGTTATTTTCAAGTGTTTGAGGATGATGTACCAAATTAAGTCGCATCCTGGACCATAAAGTAAATCTTGAAAAGTTAAAAGAGTTAAAATTATTTAACATTTCTCTGACTATAAGGAAATCAGTCTAAAAAATCAGTAACAGAAAGCCAGAAAATCTTTACAAGCTAGGAAATGAAACATCATATTTGTAAATATTCCATACATCAAATAGCAATTCACACATGAATTTTTAATTCCGTGAATTGAATAAAAATGAAATAGAGCATATCAACATTTGTGTGATATAACTAAAGCAGTGATAAGAAAGAAATTTGTAACAACTAATTTAAAACATTAGAAAAGAAGAAAGTCTTAAATGAATAATCTATGTTCCCATCTCAAGTACACAGAACAACAAAAATATCAAAATAAACCACAAAGTAAGCAGAAGGAAGATAAGATTAATAAGAAATTGAAAATACAGAAAATCAATGAAGCAAAGACCTGATTCTTCAAAAGATTATAAAAGTCACAAATTGTATTAATTTGGCAAAGAACAAAAGAGAGGGAGAAGACACAAGTTACCAATATTTAGAATGAGAACCAGCAGATTTCATTATAGACTCTCTGAATATCAAAAGAATAAGAGGATCCTTTAAAGAACTTTACACACACAAATTCAAAAATACAAATGAATTGGATCAATTATTTAGGAACAATATTACCACAAATCACTCATTATTAAGTAGATTATTTTAATAGCCTAACTATAAAGGAAATTAAATTTATAAATTTAAAGTTATTAAAAGATAAATCTCCAGGTGTAGAGGGTTTCACTGGAGAATTCTATAAAATGTTTAAACAGGAATTAATGCTATTCTGTATAATCCATTCCAGGGAAAAATAAGAGAGAAATACTTTCTACTTCATTTTGTGAAACTAGTATTTCTCTGATACCAAAACCAGACTTAGTGCAAATAAATAAATAAACAAACCAATAGTAGAGATCTGAATTCCTCAGGAATAAAAATGTAAAAATTCCTAAGGAAATATAACCCAATAATGCATTGTATTAGTCAGGGTTCTCTAGAGGGATAGAGCTTATAGGATGTATATATTGAAAGTTTACTAAGGAGTATTAAATTCACACAGTCACAAGGTCCCACAATAGGCCATCTGCAAGCTGAGGAGCAAAGAAGCCAGTCATAGTCCCAAAGCTGAAAGACTTGAAGTCCAATGTTCAAGGGCAGGAAGATCCAGCACAGGAGAAAGATGTAGGCTGGGAGGTTAAGTCAGTCTAGACTTTTCACGTTTTTCTGCCTGCTTTATATTCTGGCTGCATTAGCAGCTGATTAGATGGTGCCCAGCCAGTTTAAAGGTAAGTCTGCCTTTTCCAGCCCACTGACTCAAATGTTAATCTCCATTGGCAACACCCTCACAGACACACACAGGATCAATACTTTGCATCCTTTAATCCAAT